GGTGATCCCATGATACCTGGAGGGAAAGAAAGTGTTTCGGGTGACAAAATCAGGACCCTCATACCCTCACCCCTCTGCTAATCTCAGCTGGCCTTGAACAGTGGGCCACATCTAAGGAGGTGACTTTAATAGCGATAAATACAATGTCCTGCATTTTGATCCAAAATGAATATCTGGAGAAGTACACCAACAGCTGCGGCTTAGTCATTTTGGTTAGTAGCAAGTTCAATGTGAATCAGTGGTGTGACGAGACTTCTGGAAAAATGAATTTGGTCTTTGGTTGCATGAGTAGAAGTAGAGGATCTAGAAAGGAGGAAGTGATAGCTGCCCACTGTCAGACTGTACCTGTTTCCAGTTCCCAGCTCTGAGCACAAACTGGAACACGCCCAGACGAGGAACATGGCCGTAGACAGAGCTTGGGGATGCGTGTTCTAGCAAAGACTTAGGAGGACATTATTCTTGGTTTCAAACATATCAATGGTTGCCACATGCAAGAGGCTTTAGTTTTGCGCTTTTGTGGCTTTCTGTGGATCTGCAGGTAAAAGCTTCAGGAACTGGGATTTTTGTCTCCATATAAGGACAATTAGAGGGTCTGAAGAAGAAAGGACCGCCTGAGGCCAGGCAATGTGTTGGCTCATCCTGGCACCATTTAGCGGCTCATCTGAACCTCAGAACCTCGTAGAGAGGAGAAGACAAATCTCATTTCCTTCTCTTTTGAACTCTTGGAGAGCCAGTTACAGCTGATTCAGGAAAGTGAAAAGTAAATGGCCAGTGAATACATGGGAAAAATGTAACGTTGCTAGTCGTTAAATAAAAATTCAAACAGCAATACAGCACTAGTTTTTGCCTGTTAGCAAAAATTAAAGAGAAAAAATGAGTTCCCACACTGGTAAGGGTGCCATGAAATGGGTGATTCCTTGCATTGCTGTTGGCACGGATACCGTTTGGAAAGCCTGAGTGTGAAGAGCTGTAACATTGATAATACTTTCGATCCAATAGTCAAATAGGCTATTGAACCAGAAGAGGAGTTGAAAATATGCAAATGTCCACATGATTGATGTTCAGTGTGGAATTACTTATAACAGAGAGAGACTGGAAACAATTTAAACAACGGAAGAGTAACTGCTGGAGAGGACGGGCCACCACTCAATGGAATGTTATGTGTCATCTTAAAAGATAGTCACTTTCACTGTAGCCATATAGACAATGCACAGGACATGAGGCTACGTGTGTGTAAGTGAGGGATTGCCAACCACAAAGGTCTATAGCTGTGATGACTATAATCACATTCAGTAGAAGGAAATTTCCTCTTTTTACGTCCAGACCTGGGTCATGCTGGGAAGATCACTTCGACTTTGGGATTCAATGGTCCCTACTGTCCCTTCCAGTTTTCGGATGTGAATAGAATGGCCCATTTAATAAACTGTATCCCAGAGGGATTAGGAATCAGCCACTGTCTTATCTTCAGACTAGAGGCCCAGTGCATGAAATTCATGCACAGGAAGGGGGTGTTTCTCAGCCCGGCCTGCACCCTCTCCAATCTAGGACCTCTTGGGGGATGTCCAACTGCCGATTTAGGCCCAATGAACGGGCATAAACGGGCAGTTGGACATCCCTCTCACAATTTGGGACTGCTGGCTGCTAACTGCTCGCCTGCCTGCCTGCCTGATTGCCCCTAACCGCTTCTGCTGCCAGCCTGATCGCCCCCTAACTGCTCCCCTTCCGGCCTGATTGACACCTAACTGCTCCCCTGCCGGCTCGATCGCCCCCAACTGCCCTCCCTTGTAGCCTGATCACCCCAACTGCCCTGCCGGCCTGGTTGCCCCCAACTGCCCTCCGCTGCCGGCCGTCTTGTGGCGGCCATCTTGTGGCGATGTCGCTCGAGGCGTTGCGCCACGCCACCTGGGCTTTTATTATATAGGATTCCCTCATCACACGGTACTTCTTCTACACTATAGATGTTTGGAAACCAGTTTTGAAGTGAGTAACAAATGAAAAGAAATAGGATTCCTTGATCCCTCTCAATACACGGCTGTATGTTGCAGCGGGTTTAGCCATATGCTCCTTAAGCACTTTGTTATGGAGTGACATAAAACAGTTCCCGAGTCATCCCCAAATGTCCAGGAACGACCTCAAATCAAGATACTCTTGCTAGTAGCATTATTGAAAGGCACTGTTCTGAGAAGGCTCCTTCATTCACACAAAACAAAGGGAAGAGATGACTATTTAATAAATGGATTTATTCACTTAGATTTGAGTTAAAAACAACAACTTGTCTGTACCCCTGGTTTAGGATCCAATGGGAAGAAAGTGGTCAGAACACTTACGTTTGTGTATATGTAGGACCACTAATTCCCAGGGCATCTGAGAAGCAGGGGGAGGCCTGAGCTTTCAGCTCATAAACAAAAGCCTCCAGTCATGCCAGACTCCCTCTGAAATTGCGATCATTTGTTCAGAACTTTCTAGAAGAATGTCCTTTCATCAGGCAGAGCAGTCAAGAGGAGAAATTGGTCAGGGGTAGCGGCACCTTCAACTCCATCCATCCCACCAGCACAGCATCAACATGCACCTGAGGTACCTGGTGGGGGGCGGGGCTCACCATCCTGAGAATTCATGCAACTTTTGAAGACAGGGTTGTCTGCTCCTTTCAGAAAGCAACCCATTCAGATCATCCAGGAAAAAAATTAAAAATACAGGGATAGCATACAGCTAGATTACCTAAACCTTAAAGAGCATGAAGATTATTTAAATATGCAAATGAGGCATCTCTCCAGCATATAATTACATCTTCAAGGCAGAATCCAGAGCGTGAGTTTGGCTGGAAGGAAACACAGAACTTCAGACACACAGTTCCCCACCTAATGCATCACACAGGATCCCACGTGCTGGAATTAAAACCATGGCAGCTGATGAGCACGAGCTTATTGGTACCGTTGATTTTTTTTTTTTCTTTCTTTGCATTTATACCTGTTTTTAATAAAATGAAGACACTGGTCATTGCTTTGTTTTCTTCTTTTCAGGGAAAGAATTGGAGTGTGAAGTGAGGGGAGAGGCAGCGGTTGGGGTGCCTTTGGATGAGGGCAGAGGACCTAGCAGGGGAGGTACGTGAATACAGTGATTGAACATACACAGAAACAGCTAGGGACACACCGAGTGCTGTCCTTTCCAGTCGGCCAGCTGGCCATACCCGGAACTTATTTCCACAAGATTGCCATTGCCCAGCCCCCAGGAAGCTCTGCTCCCGAAAGCCTGGCCCCACCCCTCTGGGCTGCCAGTTAGACACCTCAACACATGTCTCCCAGGGCAATCCAGGCTCCTCTCCCATTAGCTTTCCAGGCCCTTGAGGACTGGTCCATGTGTCACCGTCACCCAGCAGTCACTGGGAGGGCGTTGCTGCTAAATGAATGCTTCTTGAATTAAACAAGTGAACTGCCCTCAGATATCGGAATCATTCAAGGATATCGTGTGCAACAGCTAACACAATGAACTTGACTTTGGTGGCGGTGTTTTCTAGTGTCAGGCAGTGTTATTTCACTCCTACCTCTTTCACTTGTCTCCTTCCCCACTTAAGCTGTATGTCCCTCCCTCAGGCCCTTCACTGCAGGTAACAAGCCAGGGCCAGATTTTTGCTCCGTTCGGTGGGATGGTCAATGTACCCAAGAGGTCAGATCAGAATTTTGGAGGTGTTTTATTTTGACTGAGTTCCCTTAGATGTATCTGATGGTACTCTCACTGGTGTCTCCTGTCTGGCCACTTTGAGATTTTACAGGGGTGGGGAACGTCTGGCCCGCAGGCCACAGAAGGCCCACGAAATCATTGGATCTGGCCTGCCAAAGCATTAGGGATGAGTTAATCAAATGTTTGACCAAATATAGCAGGCTCAATTTTAAGCTGATAATTTTGTATGGCCTTCGAATGATATTATAAATATCCAAATGGCTCTTGGCAGGAAAAGGTTCCCCACCCCTGATCTAGGAGGACACACCACCGTTTTGAAGGTGATTCCAACAGTGGAAATGGAAATGGAATTGGCAGGATTGCTGGCAGACACGGGGTCCCCAGGTGACCATTGACCTCACGGTCACATCCCCACCACAGGAGCTCAGCCTGGCATCCTGGACACCAGTGAATGGGGCTGAGCAGATGGGTCGTGGCTGAGCCTGGCTCCCCTGGAGTTCCTGCAGATCTACCGAGCACTTGAGCACACAGAACTAGCACACCTGGAACCAGCGAAGCTCTGAGACGTCGTCTCCGTACTGCTCTAGCTGGCGACGGTGCCCTGTGACCTAGTACTGGTCCCAGCCACTCCCCTTCCCCTTCGGCTCCTTGCTGGCTCTTGGTGTGTGCATGTTGGGCGGGGAGGGCATTTCAGTGGTGCTGGGGAGGTCCTGGAAGGTGAGAATCTAGGCTTAGAAAAGTCATCACAAGAAACCCTCAGCCCTGGGAAAGGCCGGCAGGCTCCAGTCCTAAAGTCTAGTTTATCACTTGAAAGCTTCCAAATGGAGACTCGATCTGACCCCGGTGGCTTGGTTAGTTGGAGGGTCATACTGTGCAGTAGGAGATTGTGGGTTTGATTTTGGTCAGGGCATGCACAGGAGCAGCGAATGTCTGTCTGCCTGTCTGTCTCTCAATCTCAGGGGATGATTGAAGGGGGAAAAAAACCCCACAGAGGTATGATCTGTCTTACCCACGAGCTCCCAGGCTCTCGATGGAAGGCCTGCTGCCCAGTAACTCTGCAGACTAGCGCTGGGATTCCCGGGACCCACAGGGGAGCCCAGTTTTGGGCTGCCCACTCGTGTATTTGCAGAAAGGTGTGTGATTTCCCACCAAAAGGAAAGCATGCGTGAAGATGGGCACAACTCATGCAGCGGAAACACCGGACTCAGAAAACACAGCGCCCCACCCTCCCGGGGCAGGTAAGAAGCAGACATGCCCTCGCTACTCAGCACTTGCACGTGGAGATGCAGCGCACACAACACCACGAGGCCATTTCTCGTCAATTGATGCAACTCAGTAATTTTTATTGCAACTGGAAGACAATACATCACAGAAACTTTATGGTAGGTCTGGGGGAAAGTGTTATTTACAATAAATGATGAAATAGTTTGTCTTTGGCAATATGATTACATATGAAGAATGCGAAACGCAAGGATGGATACCTCCAAAGCAACACCATCAGGTCCCTCAAGTTCGGCCCGTCGTGCCTGCCTCCTCCCTGCTGCGGACCGCGAACGCGACGGAACGCCACCTTCCTTCTCCTCTACGGTTCTCCCTTCCTAGTCGTGATATTGGCAGTTTCATACAGAAAATACAGAAAAGAAAATTGGCTTCTGAACAAGTATGACTCTAATACATTAATTTGGCCATGTAGGTCGATTGGCCAGCAAAGGTCAGAAGGTCGACCCTAAGCCTTGAGAGTCAACCTCTGGGTCTTCTGATTGCTTTATCACTGTTATTTTTCTGCAAAACAAAAACACACCTCAGAAGTGTCACAGAATCAAGAGTATATATTTTTTTAAAAAATGGTACAAGTGTAGGATGCGTCCCAGACACACACGGATACTGTTTCCTCCACATTGTCACCATGGCAGTGTAAGGAGTGAGTGTGGACGACGCGGCGCGGAACTGGCTACTGAATCGGCTATGAGCTTGGACGGCCTCCATGCACATTTGCAGGAGAAGCTGAATGTTTACAGAACTGAAATGGTGCTAAGTTTCATCTTAACATAAAAGGGGGGTGGGGGATGTCAGGGAACTCAGGCCACAGTCATGAAAGGATGGAATACAATTCTAGGTTTGACAGGTTCGCCATATCGAAGTCGTCGAGAATCCAATATGGAATATTAATTATTTGCAAAAGCAGGGAAGGGTGTTCTCCGCCTTTGCAAATGAAACACAGTGGAAAACACTGTTGTATAGATCCCCAATAAATACTCTTGATTTCAACGGGAACGAAACGAACAGGACGGGGGCTTGTGAGTACATCACAGGTAAGTCAGAAGTGATCTTTCGCCTAGGTCTGGTTTCAAAAGTACGACAGACAGCAGGATACAGCACCATAGACACATCGGTTTCGGCTGTTAAAAGATGTTTTTGTTTTTTTTTTTAAAATCGGATTTTCCCTCCTTAATTTTTTTGGTCGGTGAAGCTAGCACTTGTTTGTAGAACTGTGGAAGAATGGCAACGTCACACGCATGTTCTCATGATAAAGCAACCGAGCTGATGAGTCTGTGCTTGATTCAAGGATGACCAGTAGGAGAGAGGAAACAAGGAGGGAACCCCCAGGGCGGGTGGGTGCTCTCTCGAAGGGAGAGGGGCTGACAGGTGAATTTCACAAAGGTGGGCGGGTCTATACAGAACACTGAATGCTGTGTGTAAATCCTCGTGAAACTCCAGAAACAGGAACACCACACAATGTATACACTTTGATTTACACATTCCGTTACAAAGGGAAAAAGAGGACACCATTACGACGTTGTAACTGCGTTAACTGCAATAGAAACCAAAGTCCCGAGTTTGGCAGGTAACTAAGAGAGGGTTATCCACTTAGGTTATATAGCAAAAGTGTGGATGTATATTATATATAGTAGTATAAATAATAAAAAAGTATTATTTAAATTAGATCACAGTGCTGCATTATGTGCATAACAGTGTTTGATATAGTATTGGAGGGCCGGGACCTATGACACTAAGGATTTAACTGTCAACACTGGTTAAGTCACAATCGGGGGGGAGGGCGGGGGGGAGGGGGGACAACGACACAGAGTTCATATGTGTTCTTTTGGTGGCAAAAAAAAAAACATCCTGAAGATGAAAGAAAAAACACTTCTCTACAGAAACATGAAAATAAATTGCAACATCTGGGCAGCTGTGATCCACCAGAAAGAAAGGACTCCCAACCTGAATCAAGTTTAAAGGGAAAGAGAAGTCACATTGAACCCATCCAGTCCCATAGGGAAGACCCTCCCGTTAGGTCACTCGTAGGCATGACTCCTTCTCCAAGAGCCCTTCCGCCAGGGCCCGGGGCCTGCACGCGGTGTGGGCGCAGCACCTGGCGCTGAGCAGGCCTGGGCTGTGCCAGGGAGGAGCGGGCACAGGAGCCATCCAGGCGGCACTCACTCTGCAGAGCCCACAGCCAGACGCTGTCCCTCGGGCAGGAACAGCGCTCAGAGACATGGCCTCTTGCAGGCTGCCCCCTGGTAGTACCTGCTTCTCCAAGGAAAACCGGTTCTTGGGAGAGGCCACTGACACTAGCCTTCGCACACACTCAGCCCCGCCCAGGACGGAAACTCGCCACCGCGGTCTTGGCCAGGGCTGTCTCCAACCACCCTCTCCATGTGGGTTTGGGCCATTTCCAGGTAAGACAACTTGACCAAAGGACTCTCAAAAGTATACCGACTTGAGGAGGGAGGGGGCATAGGAGCTATGGTAGATTATAAGGCTGGGAATGAAATCCATGATGCAGACAAACCCTTTCCACAGAGTACTAGTAGATAAAGATAGAAGACCACGGTAGTAGCATAAAAATAACTGTCTACGTGTAAGTCATTTAAGAAAAAAGAGCTATGGCCTCTTTCTCTTAAATGTGCCCAAGGGCCAACAGCAAGTAACGGCAGATGTTACGGTGCTCAAGTGTTCACGGCTGCTTTCCAACGCATCTGGAAATATTGCTATAGTTCCCCGACCCCCCCCCCCCCCCCACGAGTAGGTGAGATACTGGAATGAATGACACGTGAAACGCCACTGCTCCCGCGGGAGACACAAAAGCCAAACCGCCGCACCCGGCGAATGGAGCCCGGGCGACCTGTCAGACTAATGAGTACACAGGCTGGTGTGGAAGCTACAGAACACCTGACGTTCGGGAAGGAATTCCAAGACTAAAGTGAATGACACGCGAGCAAAAAGACTCTCTCACAAATAGGCTTGTGCTTAAATTCTCTGCTGCTCCTGGAGGGGCTGGGGAGGGGGTGCTCCTGCCCCTGGCGTGGTGAGGGCGTGGACAGCCTCCTTCGGCAATGAACTCACTACAAACGGCCACATACACATCCCCCCCCCCCCCAAACAATCGAAATACAAAGTTTAAACACAATTGAGCCATTGTTTTGGTTATGCATAATGTGTATGCCCCCCAAAACAGAAGAAAAATAGAAAAAAGTACCCTCACTAAAGTTTTCCCTGGAAGTCCCCCGGCAGCCCCTGCGAAGGGGCCGAGGGAACTCAAGGAAAATAACACTTAGAAAGCTGCCCAATGAGGTATTTATGCAAAAAGAGTGGTTCTGGAGTTAAGAACACACTTTTATAAGATAGTTATCTATTTCTCAAGAGAGATCAGAAAAGTAAATCACACACATTGCATTTTATTATTTTCTAAAAGAGGCCTTTGCTCCTTTAGAAAAATGAAATGAGGGGAGACAGCCCACCGTGGGGGGTTTAAATTGGAAGAACCGCCCCCCCTCCCTTGCCAGAAACAGTCCTGAACCTGTATCTGCCTTTCTGGGGGGGAAGTCTACATTTTACCTGGGGGGTGGGGCGGTGTTTCCTGGGCTTGATCAGGTGACAACACAAACCAGTGTCCCTCGGGTTTCAGAGCTGTGCATGGCTTTTGGGGTGTCGAATGTTGGGTGAGATGGAGGGAACGGAGTACTTCAAAACTATATCCTTACTCCCTTCTCCCCACTGACTGAATATGCGGGAAGAGTTCAGGTTCAGGTTCAGATAACGAAGCCGACCTGGTGTGCAGGTGACTTCTTCAGGGTCTCTCATCAGCAACCACAGGAAGCTGGGCACGAGGCACGCAGCAGTTTCCCTGCCCGTTTTTAAAGATCAACACGACCCACTTCTGTCCCTCCCCGTCACATCCTGAGCCACAGTGGCGGGTGTTTGTTGGTGTCTTTCAGTTCCCCTCCACTTGGGTGGGAGATCACACTTAGAGGACAGGAGTTTCTGGGCTGCGGGACATCGTCCTGTGGTCTGAGTTTTGCTCTCACAATCTAGATGGGCTTAAATCCAGGCTGGTTCGTGTGCGGAGGTGGTAGAGATGGCCGGCCCCGCCTTCCCACCGTGACAGGGAGTCACAGGAAAACTGTGGGCCGGTCCTTCCCACACCTGTGTCGCTTCCGCCTTCCCATGACCCCTAACTCACACCCTCATCTAATAAGGCCCATTAGCGTTGTTTCCCTTCTCCTGACGAATTTGCATAATTATCCACTGCCTTTTTCCTAGGACCAAATTGCGGTGATGGTTTCCCCAGTCAGCGTCCCCTAATTCTCTCGATTCTAACATACACACTCGCTACGAAGTTTGCCCTCACATTATTGCATCATGATAAACATGTCCAGACACTAGAGAAAGGACACACTTTCCACAGAGAATCAGAAGGGGGTTGGGGCTGAAGTGCAGACAAGGCAGGCCCTACCGGAACATGAAATAGTTTTATATTGCAGAGTTAGTTCCCCAACAGTCAGAATTTGTCCCTGAAGAAGGTTAAACCTTAAACACCTGCTTCAAAAAACCAAAACAAAATAATTGGGTAAAAAAAAACCAAAACAAAAGGAAAAACAAAACAAAAAAGAAAACCCAAAGAACCTCTAAGCCTAAGGCTTAAACATTAGAGGCATAGCCTTTTCTCTATGTTCTATATTTATATGAAAATAATTCATGCTTCATGCTAAATACATTATTTACCTTACAAGAACTTTATTTTTGAATAAAAAAAAGTTTGTGTTTTTATGATTTTTTTTTTTCCTTTTTCTTTTTAGAAGGAATCCATGCATTGTGGATCGGAAATTTCTGCTGGCTACAACGGGCTGACTGTGGAAATCACTGATTTTTGCAAAGATGAATCCTGACTGACATGATCTGCAAACTCCATTTTGAGGGCAGTATAGGAGTTTTCTTTTGCCTTTTTGCCACATTTTTTTTTGGTGTGTGTGTGTGTGTGTCCATCAATGTGCCTTTCATCTTTAAAAAATAGACCACAGTACTAATGGCAGGTTCCATAGCTTTTTGCTTGTTTTTTTCCCCCCGCTTGGATCAAATAGTTTTGACAAAAAAAGGTTTGTACCATTTTTTCCTTCCTTGACAACTATTGTAATTTCTTGGACTTGATTTTCACTTGGGCAGTTAAGAAAACAGCCTGTCTGTGGCTTTTCTCTCACTCTCGTGTGTGTGTGTGTGTGTGTGTGTGTGTGTGTGTGTGTGTGCAGGGCCAACCCTTCAGGCTTATGGCTTGTGGAACATTCTCTTAATTTCAGATAGAACAGAATTCAATGATTAGGAACATCACTAAAAACTGACCCCATTTCCTTTCCTTAGTCATTGACACCAGTGTCCGTGAATGGTCCAGTGTCCACCGCCAGACATCAGGAGGCTTCAGGACTAAGAAGCACTGAGGCCCGGGGACCCCGCCCCCACCCCGAACGCTGAGCGGCAGTGCCCAGGGTTTCCTGGCACGAGACGCTGCCTGGTGCCACAAGCCTGGGCCTGCTCCTGGGGGGCGAGGGGCTCTTCCTTCTCCCCAGTTGCCTCACGCACATTCACTCAGTGAACCCCACTGGGTGGACATCCTGACCTTGTAAACCTAACGGTTAGGCCTGACCGATGATGACCTTGCCTTGCAGGCGCCAAACACGGGCTTTCCGTGGCATCCTCGACACCCCTGCGGAGCCAGCCACGGCCTCGGGCCAGCGGGAGGAAGCAATGATAAATTTTGGCTTTTTCGGTTTTGTCTTCAGATAATGAGAAGCGTTTGTAAAACAGCTGAATGTCAATGAGTCTATGGCTTCAATCTCCTTTAAACGTAAAATTCTCAAGGGTCCAAAACAAAGGAGGGGGGGGGGCAAATTAGAGAAGAAAAGAAAACAAAAAAGGAAAGAAAACCAAACCCAAAACAAAGAAAAGAAAAAAAAAAAAAGAAATTGCTGATATTGCCACAAATCATTAGAAATCTCCTGACATGCTGAAACCAAATGGCCGTTCAGTTCAAAACAAATCAGTGACTTGTTTTTTTTAATTTTTCGTGGTTTCCTTTTGCTCTTTCTGCCCCTTTGCCGTCCGATTGGTGATGTTGTTCAAACAGGACCGAATGCCTGCCAAGTGCAGGAGCGACCCCGCCGCCTCCTTCATCTCCTCGTCGTCGCTCTCGGGGGGCTTCTCCGTGCGTCTCTTTTTGAGGGGCAGCGTGTCGCTGGGGACCCGCCTGGCCTTGGCGAGGTGCTGGCGCTTCTTGTGCGGGGCCGCGTCGCCGGGGGCCTCCCGGGGGCCGTGCTTGCGCTCGTCCTCCTCCGCCTCGCTGTGGCTCTCGCGGCTCGGCACGCTGCCCTCGCTGCCCTCCTGGCTCCCCTTGGTGGCAAACTCCTCGTGGTCCTCGGCCGAGGAGGAGGAGACCGAGTCGCTGGCGGGCGAGGCGCTCCTGGCGGCGGCGGCCTTGGCACTGCTGTAGTTGTGATCCTCCTTGGGGTCCCCGCTGACCACCGGGGAGCCGCACGACGGCTCGCTCTCTGTCCGTGTCCTGCCGCTGCCCAGGCCGTTCCTGCGGGCGGGGACGGAGGGGAGACAGAGGGGACACGGATGAGACCCTGTGATGAGGCCCCCCACCGCCCCCCTGATGCGCTCACACGTCCAGCCCTTGGAGGCGCAAGCTGGCCACGTGCCAAGGCGGCCGGAAAGTCGGCGTCCTGCACCCCGTCCTCCCATCACTGGCCTTTTCACTGTGTGTGTGGCTGAGCCGCCAAAACAACACGCTTCAGAGGCCACAGCGGTGGCAACAGGGTCTCCATGGAAACCCTCAGGGTCGAGCGGTGCTGGGCTTCGCAGACCCGCCGGCACGGAGGGACAGACACCGCGGAGGCGGCCGGGCACGTACTTCCGAGGAAAGACCCGCGTCCTGCTCACGCTGCTGCGGTAGGAAGACTGAACCCCGCCTGCAGCGAAGAGGTACCTGCCGGTGGGGACGGCTACCCACTCAGGCTTCCCCCTTCCCCCATTCATCCTACAGGTATTCACTGAACGCCCCACATGAACGCATGGCCTGGGGAGGGTCCCAGGTGGGACCAGGTACAGGCACCGCCACACAGACGCCGACAGGCCAGCAGGTCACGGTTAGACCCCAGGAGGGGGAGCACCCGCCAGGCGCCTGCGAACCTGCATAGATGACCGCGTTGAACTCCAGAGCGGCCTCGAGCATCCTAACTGTACAGGTGCCAGGAGGAGGATCTGGAGAAGTTTAGGAATTTACTTAGAGCCGCCACAGCTCATAAGCAGCAGAGCCACGATCGAGCTCTTAGCCACCCCATCAGATCCGCTCCACTCCTTTCTGATTTGCCCACAGCTCAGTTCCCCGCCTTCCGTTCCATTCCCATCAGAGCCCGACAGCACTCTCCATGCCTCTAGTCATTTTGTTGCTTCACGTCTAACAATGACCAGACCTCCTCTATGCTTCCTCAGGAGCTAAGTGGGAAAAGAGGCTGCACCTGCTGCACAGGGTCATGGGCCCAGGACGTGAGAGAACGCCGGCATGTGTCTGGACCAGCGCCTGCTGTCAGCGTGAGGCTGCACGCTCCTTGGGGTGGGCACCGATCCCGTTTACATGGCCACTGTGATACGATGGTGTCTGGCACAGCAGGTATTTGGGAGGCTGGGTGAGCACAGAGGTGAATCCTCGAGGGAGGGAAGGGCTACTTAGAGTGGAGGGGGCAGAGGAGGCTGCAAGCAAAAGGTCTGTGGCACAGATGGCTTCTGAAGCCGAAGGTGAGGGCTGAAGGCTTAGGGCAGGGAGGAGATGCTGTATGGCACCACCCGTGTTTCTTGTAAGCTCATCCACCTGATGATACGTTTCTGGGCGACATGAGCACACTTTCCTTCCTGCAGAGCCCCAAATCTAGGTCCTCCACAGAGAGGAGTCCCCATGTCATCACGTGGTGACCTGTTCCAGGTCTGTGATTCCCATTACAGCGTCAGCTCCCTAAGGCAGGGGCGTCACTGGTACCTCTCCAGGGCCTAGCGCTGTGTTGGGTGCAGAGTGGGCACACAGCAGAGAGAAGGGCGGGAGCAGACGGAGGTGTGTGGCAGAGAGTGGGAAGTCTGGGAAGATGACTGCGGACCTCCACCAACACGGCTTATCGCATACTCCCTAAGGATATGGCCCTGGAAAGGCGATGGGGTCAGGCCACTGATGAGCTGCAGCTGTGAGCCCGCCCCTTCTTCTCCTGCCAACCCTGGGGCCTATGGGCTCAGCAAGACTCTGGCTGCAGCCCGGACAGCAGCTGAAAGGGAGGCGAGTCCCTGTGATAAATGGTGAAGCAGGGAGTGAGGTCAAGGGTCTTCCTCTCTTCGGTGCCCTACTACATTTAAGCTGGTGGGAACGTGCACCAGGTGGTGGCACGCACCAGCACAGTAATGCGCACCAGCAAAACGCATGAGGGCCGGTATTAGAACTCAACCTCTGCTAGATGTCTCAAGACCTCCATGATCAACCCCACAATCACAATGTGTGCATTTGCACAATGACGTCCTAGCAGGTCCAGAAGGGCCCCAGGTTGTCCCGTTCTCTAGGATCCCAGACCCATGCCACCCCTCCCTTCCAAGTCCTTATAGAAAGAACCTGGCTTGTAAGACAGACAGACATCCAGCAAGTTTATTTGTGAGCTTCAGCGCACCTCTCTGCCTCCCAGGGCAGTGTGACCAAATGAAAAGTCCGACCACAGAGGGCAGCTCTCAGTGGGCACGGGAGAGTTCTGACTTGGTCTCCTCTCCTGTCAGATTGCTTGCTGCTGCACCGTGCTTACCCCGAGTGGCGCCATTTCTTTCTATTCTAGCTCAGGAGCCGTATGGGAATGCAGCATAAAGTAGGAGCAGAGAGGCCTGAGGGAAGAAATGCTTCAGGGGCTTGCTTGCCTGTCAACATGGCCCTGAGCTGTGTATCTATGTTCTGCAGACTTCCTGTTTCTTGGCTGCCTTGGGGAACATAAAAGTGGCCAGGAGAGGATGCCTGTGAGGTGCTACCAAATAGGAAACTTTGTTAATGTAATTAATTGCACAGGTAGCTATTAATAGTCATGACGGCAAATGAAAATGAAATCTCATAGAATGGCTCTCTCGATCTTTGTTGTTTCAGGTAACTACTGTTGAATCTAAAAATTAATTCAGTAATGAGTCCGCCAAACTAGCAAAAAAGAGTTTCAAAGTGAACTCAACTACACTTGGGTGAGTAAACGGGCTTTTTTCTAGGCTTTTAGAAAAGTCAATTCAATTGTGAATCCTTACTTTTTAATAACATGGGGCTTATGACTCACTTTATTACCTGTTAAGCAGACTACGATACGCCCCCTGAACATATGCGGAGAGGGAGGGAATTGTGAGTGCAAAAGAGTAGGAAATAAGGCAAGTGGTGCAAAAATCTAATTCTCAGAGAATCTAGGTGAGAGGCATATGGTGTTTATCATGCTTTTTCCCTCCTCTTTGCACAGGTTTAAAAAATAGGTTTTTTCAATGTTTTTATTGATTTTAGAGAGAGTGGAAGGGAGAAGGAAAGAGAAACAGTGATGTGAGAAACATCAATCATCTGCCTCCTGCACACCTCCTACTGGGGATCAAGTTCACAACCTGCGCATATGCCCTGACGGGGAATCGGACTGTGACCTCCTGGTTCATAGGTCGCTGCGCAACCACTGAGCCACGGCGGCCAGGCCCAGCCGAAGGTTTAAAAGCAAATCCTCTTTTGGAGAAAGGAACCTAAATTTAGGTCATGAAGCTTTCCACAGATTAAGTTCAAGCAGATATTGGAAAAGCAGCTCATAACCTAAAATCACCAAACATGTCAGCTAACAGGCCACCGGGAACATATAAATGTAAAAATACCTGTAACCAGCCAGGGCACGGGAATGACGACACCCTCGATGGGTTCGCGGGGAGAAGTAACTGCCTGCACAGGCAGCCAGTGCAGATAAAGTCAGCCCCAGCCCCAGCTCCAGATGGGGCCAGAGACAAGAAGAGCCTCCCCTGAGAATTTTAATCACAAGCCTGAAGTCTTGTGGGTATGAAGCCAGAATTCTACTGTGGGGACCAGAGACCCCAAGCTAAATTTAGTTTAAAGTGCCCAACGGTGCCTACTGTTGAAAAAAAAACACACAAACCCTTTCTGGAAGAACCTAACTTAAAACCCAGGCCACAAAGAATTCCCACACATAAGATTTTAAGAAACACAGGTTCATAACCCAAAACCCATTAAACATAAAAGAAGCCACCGTAAGCAAGAGACAACAGAAACACACACACAAAACTGTGAATCTGCAAATATTGAAATAACTAGGTACAGAATGTAAAGTATGCAAATGAAATAAAAAAGAAGGAACTGAAATACATTAGAAAGGAAGAATAGATGATTAAAGCCAGGCAGGCAGATTTTGGAAGGCATCGGGTAGAATTTCTAAAGCTGAAAAAATAGAATCCCTGAAATGAAAGAACTCAGTGGGAGCCAGAAGAGACAAATTAGTAAATCAGGAGATGGATCTGAAGATAATATATATAAAATGCAGCACAGAGAGACAAAGGGATAAAAAATATGAAAGAGAGATTGGGCAACATGGACTATAATAACCAGCTATCCCTCTAAGCTGGAGTTCCAGAGTGGAAAGGAAAAAATGGAGAAGATCCAATATCCAAATAAAAAATGGCTGAGCATTTTCTAGTTTTGATGAGGGCACCAATCCTCAGATTCAGAAAGCCAGCAAGTCCCGAGGAGAATAAATAAAAAGAAATCCATGGCTAGACACATCACAAACTGTACAGCATTAAAGTCACAGAAACAAAACATACACTAATGAGGTGTACAGTAAGATGAAGCAGTGAAACAGGTAAAAGTAGAACATTAATTCCAAAGTGCGAGACAGAAAAAATAACCATCAATCCAGAATGTATATCCGGTAACGCTATCTTGTAAGCATTAGGGCAAAATAAATATATTTTCAGGGTTTTAACTGAGTGCAGATACTCACTAGGGGAAGTTTTAAAAAATATATTTCAGGAAAAAGGAAAATGATCCAAAAAAGGAGGTTTGAGATGCAGCAAGAGAAGATAAGCAAAGACAATGCAATTAAGTACTGACTGAACACCACAATAAACAAAAAGAAACTGAAACAGAAGCAAAGTATCGGGCAAATGCAGCATTTCACCTGGGAGGTAGAGAACAGAAGTAAAAACATTCCAAGGGCCCTGTATTGATCAGGAGGTTAAAGATATTGATTAACTTTAAACATTTAAAAATATCCATGTTAAAAGGATCATCACGGGAAGAAGAGAAACAAAATGTACAACTTCCAAACCATTAGAAAGGGAAAGAAAAAGACAAAGGGAACGAGGAGTGAGAGAATTTTAATCAATTTCAAGTAATGCTAGAAAGGAAAAAGAATCTGGAAAAAGTGGGACAAACAGAAATGCAGAATAAATGGGGGAAATAAATCCAAATATGTCATTAAAAATTGGCTAAAAATATTTTTTTTTTTTGAATTGGCAAGCTAGTCTTTCTTGTTTATT